GTTATAATAAGTAGTAACATCGCGATCATTCTGTTTGGATTTCCAGAATCGAGTTTTCAACTCAAATATTTGAGAAGAATTCTCCAGGTCCGAATAAAGATCTCGAACGGCCTCCCAGACATCTTGAGCAGTGGAAAGAAATAGGTGAGGTTTTCCAATGGTAGGTTCCATGGAATTGATGAGCCAAGCAATAACAAGAGAATTTTCAGACTGCCATTTTTTCAGATTAGGGTCACCAGCAGCAGGTTTCGATATTTCGCCAGTTAAATGCCCAATTTTGCCTCTGCCATCGATCGCCAATTTTACAGACTGAGCCCACTCGAGATAATTGTGCCCATTGAGTTTTGCAACCGTGAGATAAAGGGCTAAATTCTGGGAATAGTAATCGGCAGATACAGGTGTGGGATTGGGCGGAATATTCGTGGGAGAAATAGTGGGATTGGGCGGAATGGTTTCGGAAGAGACGGTAGGATTTCCTTGGACGCCGGTCATCGCCGACTTATACGACATCATAAGAAAAAAGAAAAAAAGCACAAGGCTCTGATACCATGAAGGTTTTTTTAAGAAGAAAAATATTCACACTTCTTATTTTTCAAGAGAGACAATTACAAGATAAATAGTAGAGGAAGGCCACCAAATCAGGAAGCCCACAAAATCAGCAAATCAAATCAGCAAAACTCTAGGCTAGAAAACAGGAAACAGAAACTACTAAAATCTGAAATATTAGTTTCAGATTTTATTTTCAAAAATTGAATTTCCTAATTTATTTCCTAGAAATCTGACAGACATAGAAATATTTTCCTAGAAGAATTTTCTTTTTCATTCGAAGTCAGATCTTTGAACCTTGAGGTCCTTGATTTTCACATACTTTTGACGTAGTCACTTTTGTGTGAATTGAGTTAGGTGCTTAGTTTGTACCAATTTGCACCTTCTGATACACCTTGGATTAATAAAATCAGTATTGGCTAATTTTTTTTTTTGACAAGTTTGTCAGTATTGGCTAATAAGAGCAGCAGTGGTTAATGTGTCTTTTAAAGGGAGCAGGAGGACATTACCATAGACATTATTTCTCTCTCAATTGAATATAAGAGTGCAAATTCATCTTCTAGAATGGTGTCGGTTCCAAATTAAATTGGAATCATTTTAAGAAATTGGAGTTATCATGAAAACTATTATGATACTTGTAAATAACTTAAATATTTTGAGATCCTAAAATTATTCATCATGTTATTTCACATGAAATAGTCTTGTTTAAATTGTACGAAGAAACTATATGGATTTAGTCAATTGCCATGTAAAAGAATGAAACGATTCTTTGTTTATTTCGTTGGATTTCTGAACACCAAACCTTGTTCTACTGTTCCTTACGAGGAATGCCAGTTCTGAAATTCAATAAGATGTTGGTTGTTATTTTTATGGTAGATTGAAAATAAGAGAATGCTGTTCGTTATTTTTGTGGTTTCCTTCTTTGTGTAGTAATAAGATCTGTCTGTAAGAATAGCATCGGTGGTGTGGGTTTAAATGTTACCCAATGATCTTTGTTCAATTTAGTATTATAAGAGAATCTAATGCTAGTTCTGAAATATTGCCTTTTCAAATATTTTAATTCACGAGTCAGATTTTCTGGTGTGATGGTTTGCAGCTTTGATTGTTACTTCAAGTATGTTACTGGTATCTCTTTATTCGTGTTGCTTAAATTCGTGTATTTTTAGATCATCAACATGCCAGGAAATCCAAATGCAGTTGCAGAATGCATGGAGGCCTTGTTGCCTGCCCTTAAGCATGCGTTGAAGCAGATAAAGGGTGACAAGAGAGAGAAGCATCCTCGTCATGTACCTCATGCACAAGCAGCTTCCCCGGATGTTTGGGAAAATAGTTATAAGTTGGCTTCTAGTGGCGGGAAAGAACCTGGCTGTTCATGTTCCCATTAATATGATCTTCAATCTTGTGAATGTAAATACTGTATAATCCCAGGACTCTGAGATACTTGAAAGTAAAATCCTTGATAGGATGCACATTGAAAGAAACTTCAATGACTGGAAAGGAAATGGCAGAGGGAAAAGTTTCTGTGCCTGAAATTTTTTGAAAAACATAAAGTAAGTCAAAGCTGAAATGTCACTAGACGCGAGAATCCTCCCATAATTGGGTGACACGAGACATGGCTAAATGGGCTCAAATTTATTTTAGCTTATCAATCTCTCTCTCTCTCGCGCGCGCACACACGTGTGTATGTATATATATATATAGATACATAGATGATTTGATGTATACTTATCAAAAAAAAAATATATATAGATGATTTGATGTATATTTACCCCAATTAAAATCTCTTTTAATTTTGGTTTGGTGGTGTTGCCGGAGTGGCAAAGGTCCAGGCTTTGGGGCCCCTCACCCTACAATTGTTTAACTAAAATAACAAAAACAAGTGTACTTTCTCATGCTTCCAGATTTGGGCCTTTTTCTGAGGCAATTGCACTACTGTGCCAAACATAACAAACAACATTAAACATGTTCCACCATTTTTTCCTATTTTTTACTGCTTAGGCAACAAAAATGGTTTCCAAACAAGCCCTAACTCACAAGCTTTTTGCTTCCAAGAGACTTTAACCTTCGACCTTGGTCAAGAAATGGCTACCCCAAAGACATAACTTGATTTTATATGACATTTACCTACACTACTCTGCTTGATGAGTTAAAGCTAGTACATTTTCTCTAGAGTTCAAGGTTGGGCACTCTGTGCGTGAGCAATTACCAAAAAAAAACACGCATTTAAATTTGGATTCAGCAGAAACTGCACAGTTGTGCATATATGTTTGGTGTAATTATCAAACCATCAGATTGTAACACGCGAACACTGTGTGAACATAAGATAATAGTCATTTGTCAGGCTCAATCCTTACCTTAATCCCATATGAATTGCAAAAGGCTTTTGTTAGGCTTGGCTGGTTAGCAATAACCAGCACAATAAGACTTTCTAAAGCATTTTATTACAAGTTATAGTACGGTAAAACATCATATAGATGGATCTTTACGAGGAAGGAAGGACAGAGCCTTGAAGGAATGACGATATCATGAGCAGTGCTCTCTCAGGCTGGTAGCTTGGAACTAGATGTCCAGCTCCTCTTACTGTTGCAAATGTTAAGCCTTGGTATTCCACCACATATCCTCCAACCTGCCATTATATTCCGTGCATATCGTACCAGTTAACTTAAGTCACTTATTTTAATGGCAGAATATTGTAGCAACAACAAATAACAATCGAAGGAGAAGTGTACATTTCCAGTTCAAAGGAGATGTAAATTAAATTTCAATGGTGGAATATAAATACTTTTGTTGGTTTGACAAAGAATATGTTTTCAATTATAATATATGAAACCAATTCCCTACCCTATCTTCATTTTTCTTTTGTTTCATTTCTACCAATGTGGTGAGTCTCATTGTTACTACCACTCAGAATATACGTTTTCTAACCGAACTTGGTCACAAGTTGAAGAAACTAGCGCTTTGTTTGGTACGAAGGATGGAAAAGTGAGTGGGAGGGTGGGAAGGATGGATGACACATCTAGTTTGGTTGAGTGGAAGAGAGGAGGGGGGAAAAATGAAGGGATGGGGGAAGATATTATACTTTTTTCTTTGTACCCTTATGCTTCGTTTGGTTAGAGGGATGGAAAAATGGATGGAAGAGATAAGAGGAGGGATAGATGAGATATCCTTAAGGAAGGGAGGGTGTCTTTCCCATTTTATGTTTGGTTGAATGGAATGGATAGTAGAAAGGATGAATGGAGTGATACTTTTTTCTTGTTTGGTTGGAAGGAAGGGAAGGAGAGTTCATATATTATTTTTACCAATATACCCTTTTATATAAAATTATAAAAGGTAGATATTTATTTCAAAATTTTTGAAAAGGTTAAAATTGTAAATTACCAATTCATAGGTAGTTATACTTTTTTTCTCTCCTTTCTTTCTCCCAAAAGTGGGCGGATAGAAAAACATAAAGGAAGGAGGGATGAAACATCCCTCCTTATTTCCTCCCTCTCTTCCCTTCCCTCCAACCAAACACGAAAACATTTATCCATCCCTCCTCTCATCCATCCCCCCTCAATCCTTCCCTCCAACCAAACATAGCATTATTATATAATTTACGAAATTTAATGAAGGATAATAACATCACTTTAAATAATATACCATATTTATCCCTCCTCCTCTATCCCGTCCAAATTTAGAGGGATACAAAATGTTGGGTCAGGGGGGAATGCCTCATTCGTTCATCTTTCCCTTCCCTCCAACATTCTCTTGTACCAAAGGATAGAGACTTACTCTATCCATCCTCTCTTCCCCTCTTCCCCATCCTTCCCTCCTAACAAAATGTGTCCGTTTGGTTTATTTGAAAAAGGGAAAAAGTATTGTTCTTTAAGGTTGTGAATTTTTAACTCAAATTTCATAAAACGACTTTGTAAATTTTTTTTGGGTATATTTTTTTTCCCAAAAAAAGAAAAAAAGTAAAAAAAAAAAGAACTACTCTTGTAGGATTACCTCATTTGTAGTAGCTACTAGCAATTAGCATAAGAAATGATTGACCATTGAAAGGACATATGATGGTAAATGAATTTAGATGTATGTGTGTGCATTTTACCTCATCGTTGGTGTACCATGGAAGCCAAGGTGTCTGGATTGGAAGCTTGAGGCTGCTTATTGAGTACCTGGTTGATGTAACTGGAACAACCGAATCTATGTCACCACTGCATGAGAAACAATATCTTTCAGGTAAATCTTTCATGAATTTGAATAATATCAGTTTGTTTACATGGAATTGGAATTCGCCATATTGCACTCTTGATTAATTAAACCTTGTCTCAAAGGGCGCACACAGTTTTGATTTGGTTCAGTTTTGGGAGTTATAGTTTCATCAATTTTGAAATTGAACGGAATGGATGGAACTACCTATGAACCAATCCAACCCGTATAAGAATGGTTTGATTTTGTGAATTAGTAAATCTACATGCAAATTTACCACACACACACATATTTAGTTATATATATAAAGCACATTATCGATAACGAAACCAGAATATAAATTAAAGGGAAAAAATTCAAAGATATAATACACGACTGCACCGGTTATAATAAACAAAGAAGAATAAAAAAGGCAAGAACTTTAAACTGGAATATATAGATAACAGGTTAAATCGAAGAATGATTGGTTCATTTTAGTGTAAAGAGAAGGATATGTAACATTTATTTGCGGTGGTGCAATTTTATATTAACAATTGTTGCTAACCATCGTCATCATTCTTATCTTAATCCCATATGAATTGGGTCGGGCAACGTATTACTAACCAATCAAATAAAATAAACTAGTAATTCAAACCGTATGGTTCGGATGAGAATGACAATTAGAATGGATCCTTATGCACCCCTACTCCAAACCCAAATCATTGCATTCATCCAAATTCCAAAGTCTAAAGGACTAGTTCAAGGGGGCTAAATTGGAGCTAGAAATCTGATCAGATTATATATACATATATGTATGTGTGTGTTAGATCATGATGAAGTTAAGCTTGCTTGCCTGTATATCCAGACTCTTATTCCATTTACAATGAAATCCTTGATGATGGGTAGAATGGTTGTAGGGCTGTCATTCCAATGGTAACCTCTGCAAAATTATCGAAATTAGAATACAATATGTTGTTAACTTGTTACTATTAAGTAATTTTTTTCAATACCAATTACTAGCTAAAACCTAACTACCTGCAACCCCTCCAAGTTGTAGGATTTGCATGGAAAGCCTTTTGCACCTCTGCATTGTTCAAATATGAGTCTCGATATATGGACGAGCACGGATCAAAATCGTCGGCCTGGTTATTTGTTTGTCACATCAGTAATGTTCTAATCAGGATTTTATGAGAGTATCTAAAATTTCATGCAACGAGTTGTGGTAAAACTCTGCATACAAATGTCCTGTAGGACTTGGAGAAAGAATTGTGAATGAGGGACTCACAGAGCCATTGATTAGCGAGGGTTTGTTGCAGAGTGGCGCGTAGATGTTGTAATAATCGATATCACCCATCTCCTCTCCAGATTTGTCCAGGAAGCTGTTACACTTTGCAGATGAAGTTCCATTCACAAAATCACAAAATGTGTTGATGCCTTCATATGTTTCATCGGAGTTTAAGGCATGAGTCCATAAATAATCATAGTACCCCTTTCCATCTGTAGGATCATTGATTACTGCATTTCCTATCTGAAGGATACATAGGCACGAGAGAGAGTAGAAATATTTAGGCTTAGAGACAGATGGAGATAGTAAAATTGAAGGTGGATTAGTATTAAACCTACAGCAATGCCTTTGAGGTTAATAATGGTTGTTGCATTCCCGTTATTTTGCAGAATGGTGTATGCGAGCTGAGGCACATAATGACCAGCATAGCTTTCTCCGGTTATGTAAAAATCGCGGGTTTTGTACTGTGGGAACCTCTCAAGCCAGTTTATGAGAAAGGTATAGGCATCTTTGGCAGTACTCTTGTCACCAGCGTGATCATAATCAGAAGATGTATTTGAATATGAAAAGCCTACCCCAGCCGGAGACTCCAAGAAAATCACATTTGCCACTGCAATTTTCAATGGAAACCACAAAATATGTTTCAATTAGATACCACAAAATATGGTTCAATTAGATAGAAAAGAAAAAGAAATAAAATCCAAGGGGTTGGCTTAAGTGCCTCAGGAAGCATCAGATTTAAGATTCGATTCCTTTCAGGTGCAAACAATTCCTTCAAGGGGGTGTGTGAGTACCAACTAGGAAAAAAAAAAAAAAACTATGAGTTGGGAGACGAAAGGACTCACCATTGTTCCATGCATATTTGTTTTGGTAGAGAGTTTTGTTATCAGAATTGACTCTGAAAGGCCCCAATTCCAACATGGCTCCAGTCCCTAAAGAGGAACATCCTGGTCCTATTGTTCCAATTTATAGGTTATATCAGTCACACAAGCACATGTACTTAAGTTGATTGATGCACTTTAAATGAATTTAAAGTTCAACTTCATAAAGCAGTTGAAATGAGAATACTTGTGGATAGTCATTTTTTTTTTTTTTTTTTTTTGTTTTTTTCGTTTAGTACCTCCATTTAGCCATAGAACCAAAGGATTGGTAGAAGAATTTTGTGGGGACTCAACAAAGTAATAGAACAGTGCTCTGCCAGCCTGTGGATCAACTGTGACATACCCTGCATACTGATCAAAATCTACGCCATCTGGTTGCCCCGGCAAGGCGTCGATCTTGTCAGCTTGCATCAACCCATCTTGGGGACCAATGTACACATCGGAGTACTCTTCTGTGGCATGTAATGCTGCCCAAGAATCTGAAACAGGAGGGTTCTGTGATCTTCTGGACTTGATGAACCTATGAAGGTTTGTGGCCTGACTGGCCTGACTTGAATTAAGGATGGCTGCCAAAATGCAGAAAGTGAAGGGCACCAAAGTGAGGCCTACAAATTTCACCATATTCTTGCTGCTTAGCATGCATATGTGCTAGAGTTCATAAAAGAGGCAATTGTTATATATAGTTAAGGACGATAATATTAAGAAATTTTCTTTGTTTATTCTTTGGTGCTTTGTTTGTTCTTTGGAGATTTTGGGAACCTCGTGTGTTAGAAATTGTTAACAGCATATGTAGGACAATTAATCCAAAAATTTCATACTTGCCGGCTATAGTTTATATGGTTGTTAGTTGCATTGCATTATCAGTTTGCTTCTTTTAAGTTTGTATATAAATATATTGTATTATGTTTGGTTTATTACTTTTGTTGCTACATAAGACCGTCTAATAATATCAAACGAAGCTCTCCTTTCCGCTGCAAAATGACAATCACAATTAATTATAGGGTTAAAATAAAATTAAAAAAACCCTTGTAGCGAACGGTCTGGGTGCGCCTTTTGTACGGTGCAATGGGCACAATAAAATTTTCAATTAAATTTTTCTCAAGATACACAAACCTCCTTAAGTTATGAAAAATTACAATATCATCATGAGATGGCTCCATTGACGGAAGATACAATCTCACAATATTGACCTTATGAGTTAAATACAAAATTTAATTCAAAATAAAAAATTAATCTCACAAATAAACATTAATTATAATTCTTGCGCGGGCATCTAGGTTTGTAAGTGTTTTAGGAGTAATTCCCTTCCCTTGCGTCTCCGGTTTGCGTTTCACCGAAGGTAAAATATGGGTAATGATGCACGTATATAGCTTCGCATTCAAAGTGGCTCGCGGTTGGATTGATTCTTCGTTGTAGAGAAAAAAACAAAATAAAAACTTGGGTTACAGGTTGATTGCCTTGAGTACCCTAGTGAGGATTGGAAGGGCAATCAATTAGGTGGATTCCAGATCAAGTCTAATAGCATGATGATGATGTTTTTAAGTTTTATCACGGTAAGAAATTGAGTATATATATATATATATATATATATAGAATGCACCTTTTCCGGATGTTATTCAATTTTCCTTTTGTCAAACTGTATTTTGTGTCGAGAGTTGGACCAACGACAATGAGGGTGTTGCAAGGTGACTCACGACAATGAGGGTATTGCAAGTTCTCATATAAGAGAATTTAGAGGTACAAATCATATTTCGATTAGATATAATCTAATCCGGTCAATGTCCGATAAGACTTCTACTCGGTCCGATCCCATGGATTTGTGAATCAATTCATATCCGATTTGTTATTAAAGGAATATTGGATACGCTAAGGGTGTAGTTATTTATTTATTTTTTTTAAAAAATAGGAAAAAAAGAAAAGAAAAGAAAGAAGAAAAGAAATTAATGTCAAAAGAGAACAAAAAAACAATATATAAAAAATGATAGAAAAAAAATATATATATGGAAGAAAAAAGGGGAAAAATATCTTTGTTAATGAATTAACATCTAGGAGTAAAAAAAAAATATAGAGGAAGAAGTGGGAACTAGGAAAAAAAGAAAGAAGAAGTGGAGAAAATAATGATAAGAATATTTTTATAATATGTAAATATGTATATATTTAACATATTATATAAAATATTATTTCAGATCCAATTATTATCTAATCAGATTGACCAAAATCCATATCGATTTATTTAACTAACTGATTATCGGATTCAAGTCGTTAACGGGTTATCAGATTAAATCTTCAATCTATATCTGAGTTATTGAATCGGATTTAGATCAAAATCCAATCTATAGACAGGCGTAGTTAGAAGTGTCCTACATCAGATCTGGATGAGAAATGAAATGGGTGTGGATGGGTTGGAAAGTGTAATGAGTTGGGTGTTACCTCCACCTAGTAGTTTCAATTTTTGAGTCGGATCGCAAAGCATCCAACTCGTTAGAATAAGCTTCTAACCATTTATATAAAAAATAAATTAAAAAAAGAGTAATACTATAAAGGAAGCATTGCTACCATAGCAATATTTGATAATTGCTGAAATATTGCACATTTCTGCCCTAATCTCGAGTATTTTAGACCTTGTATCTATCTTTATTTTTCTGTTTTAGTCCTAATTTGTGTTTTTGTCAATTTCAGGTCAATAAAGTTCAAACGGGCTAAAAATAGTTCATTAAAGTCTTTTTTGGAGTCAAGTGATTGAAGCGAGAAAAAGTTTAGAAAAATGTCGAATAGGGGCTTACGATCGATCGCAGCCTTGCCACGATCATTCGTAGTGTCTAGTCAGCAAATAAGCCATGCCACGTCATTCACGATCGATGGTAGAAATTCACGATCGATTGCAATCCTAGTCAGCGCCAGCTTAGCGGATAAGGTCAAGCTAGTTGTCAGCGTATAAGATAAGAAGGCCACGTCAGCATGATCAATCGTAGGGAACTTGCGATCGATTGCAAATCTCTATAATCAATTGTAAACCTGCTGGTAGCAGCTGTTTTATTTCCCGGTTTCGCTCGAACTTCACCTACCAAATGGCTACCGGATTGAATCATTTTGGGGCTTATTTCTGGCCTGTTTTGGGCTCCAAGGGTCTTGTATAAAAAGGGAATTGGACCACTTTGTAAAGGGTGAGCTTTTATTTCATTAGGTTAGCTAGTTTTAGATATTTTTAGAGAGAGAAAGTTTGGGATAGAGATTAGGGTTTTGAAGTGCAGGCAAAGAAGATCTTTAGAAAGAGCCATTTCTGTAGGGTTTCAAGCATCAAGACAAAGAGGAAGAAGATGAAGCAAGCCATGGGGATGGATCTTGGAGTTACTTTGACCATATCTACAGCCTCCATGAGTGGCTTGGATGAGTCCTAAACTTGTAAACTAAACCTTTGTCTTTCATCTTTTTGGGGAATTTAATGTTGTAATTGATGCTATAGCCATGTGTATATAATGAAATTTGGGTTTTCCTATGATTACTATGGTTTAATTCTTCCTATTAATTCTTTATGTTGGTTGCATGTCTATGTGTGATTAATTGGGAATTAATCTCTACACTAGATACTTTTTACAATTATATTTAGTGATGGCTATGCATGGTTTTTATTAGATGCAATTAGTAATTAATTTGATGGATTATGTAACAACCCGAATCCGTGGGTCCAAACCGCTAACTGGGTCCTTACCCGAACCCGAGGTCACCTAAGTCAAACCCACTCATGGCTAGTGTCCATACATCATTATTATGTCTTAGTTAGGCTTCAAGATGGCTCTAAACAACTTTCTAAGATTCGAAGATTAATCACGCAAGAATAGGAACAAAGTGCCATAAACAACTTCATTTCGGTCGGCCAGTCTATACCGGTCGACCGAAATGGGCATCCTGTCAGCCGGTTGTGGCCTAAACAGTAGCTAGAGCTACTGGAATGGTCGTTCAGCTGAAACAGTCATTTCAGCCGGCCGAAATAGCTCTGCGAACTCGGTTTTGTGCTACTGGAATGTTACATGTGATGAAAATGTAGAAAACTTTGGTAGGGCTTTGTAAATGCTCTAAACCTGTCCCAATCATGTAATTGACAGTGTGTACAACACAATTAAACTCCCGTGCCTACAATTAAACTGAATACGAGTCTAATACATCATTTGAAGATCAAATTATACAAATCTCATTTTATATAATTTCTAAAGAATTTAATGCAAGGTATGAGGCCTCCATGACCAAAATTACATAGCTTTAATAAAAAATTGAAATCCTAACTACATTAATATCCATAGATGCATATCATTCACTGCCTCACCTCCGAATTCCTGAAAAATGTTAACAATAATAGGGTAAGCTTAGCAGCTCAATAGAAAAAGCCTAAAGTACATTCCTACAAATCCTGTGAGTCACAACTAAAGAAGAGGAGATCAAGAAAAGGGATCCTGGGATTGTAAGTCATATCAACATACATGAATTTCACAATTTCATAAACCATTCCATTATACATGAAATGCAAATGTCCCCTTCTTCCTTTCCAACATAACTATCACCTTAACTTACAACACAAACCATCATCTCACTTCCTAACCTTTTCTCCCACATCAACCTTCATCCTCTCAACTCACCCCCTTATCAAGAATATGCATGTCATACAACCATTTATCAATATACAAATCATGATATACATCATAATCATCTTATTAAAATATCCAAAACATGAAGTCAATCATACAAATCATACTTCACATTTCATCATAGAAAAATAGCATGCTTGACCCAAATAAAGGAAACTATCATATCCTCAATCCAAGTAATTAGATCAATACTATCTCATGCTTAGCATCACAACCAAAAATTTACAAACTAAGCATGCTTCACAATATCAAGATTTTCATGTAAGAAAGTACATAGAAACTCACTAAAACCATATGATTTATAATTTAGACTTCCCCTACATCAAGTGAGAGAAAACCTCTAAAATTCAAAATTTGCCCAATTTTTGAAATCCCTAGGGTTGGCCCAACAAGAAATTGCTTAAATCAATGCAAAGATCTCGACGAGCTCTCCATTTTGCCGCAAATGGCACCAACAAATTCCAAACGGTTGAGAAGTAATCAAGGTTTGAAGTTTGTAAAAGAAAAAGAAAAGAAAAAAGAAAAGAGTAAGAGAGATTCGGGAGATAGAGAGAGAATGTGAGGCCAAAATAATGGCCTCTTGGCCAAAAAAATCTAATAAACAAGTGGTGGTGGGTCCCACCACCAAAAAGATATCTTTTTGACTTTTATTTCCACCACAAAATATATACATAGGTGTATATTAAGTTACCACCACAAAATTAACACGTTGCCATAAAATTATGCATAAAATAATAATACATGAAATGCATTGGACCCGGGACGCAACCCCCGTAAACAACAATTCCGATAGCGGGTCCCACCCAGGACCTTCCGGCTCGAAAATGAAAAAATGCCGAAATGGCAACTGGTGGATTTGTAAGAGTCCTGAACTCAAGGAAATGTTCTACTCAATTCTCGGACACACTCGGCACACCCCACGGTGTTTGGCACGTAAAACGAAAAAAGACGAAAATACCTTCAAAAAATTAAAAAATTTCA